TGAACGAGCTTGTAAAAGTTAGGTGACTTTGTCAGGTCACTGCAGGCACCCGGCGCTCTGGCCAGCCCTATCACACGGCCAGTCAGGCAGGTGGCCCTAGCTCGCCTGGGCCTGAGTTTCTTCTAGAAGGAAAACACAACCGCTTGCCCCTGCAGGGCCTCCCTTCAGCCCTGCCACTATGCCTGGTGGCTTTTTTTCAGAGACAGCCTTCAAGCTGCCCTATCTTTTACCCAAAGAGCGATTTGAGACTGGTAAGTGTTTTATTTTATAGAAGGAAAACACAACCGCTTGCCCCTGCAGGGCCTCCCTTCAGCCCTGCCACTATGCCTGTGGCTTTTTTTCAGAGACAGCCTTCAAGCTGCCCTATCTTTTACCCAAAGAGCGATTTGAGACTGGTAAGTGTTTTATTTTAAAAAACTGGCTGACCCTTTTTTTCACCATTTTCCTGAAGAGCTGACTCTCAGTACTCTTTGGAGAGGCTCCGTCCAGCCTCCAGCTTTGTTTTTATTTCTGGGACATTCTGAAATTTCCCTCCCCCTCTCCCCTGAACATATACAGGTAGACTCCAGGCAAGGACTAGATTTCATTTTTAATAAATGGCCCTGGTGCTGCCCCCTGCCCCCACCCCCCATACACACAGAAGCACAACAGAGAAACCTGGGGAATTTGTCTCCAGGGCAAGTTACCAGACCTAGATGGTCTTTTCAGGTCAATAAAGCAGTGAAGTTCATAATTTGAAACCCACCTCCTCAAGTTATATCTCTTGGAGCTTCAGTTTTCTCAACTGTAAAATGGGTATTACAATAATACCTGTCTGGTGGGGTTGTTATGGGATTAAATGAGTTAACATATGAATAGTGCTTGGAACTGTGCCTGGTTCACAGTCCATGCTCAATAAATGTTAAATGTTATTATCTCACCCTCGCATTTGCCCAGAGACAAAGAAGCACACAGACTTGAGATTTCCCAGGATTGGTTTTAATTTGAAAAAACTGGTTGGGGTCTCTTCCCCTATCAGGGAAGAAATGCCCAGGCTATGGCTCCAGCAGATTCAGTCCAGCAGGGGGCCTGGCTCAATCATGTTCCAGTCATCAGACCCTGTCATTCCATCGCTAGGGTCTAATCCCAGACTCCCCCACCAGCCTCAAGACAACAGGACGGATGTGAAGTTGCCCAGGACTGGATTCTATCTCTCCAAAGTGGCCCAAGCCACTCTCTGTACTAGGGAAGCCAGATGTGTCTTTCCAAGGAGAGTTGTCCAGTCACCAGGCTCAGTTCAGACACTAGACAACCATCTCCGCCCTAGAGGTCAGCGCCCAGGCCCCGGCGACCGCTCCAATGCCTGTGTGCCCACCAGAACATCCATGAGGTAGTCCAGCTCGGCTTCGTCCAGCTCTGGAGCTTCTTCCTTGCCTGGCCCATCCTCAGGGCCAGGTTTGAGGCCCTCAGAGGCTGGAGCCCAAAGTTCACTGTCATACATGGAGGTGTCAATGTCCTCAAACAGGCCCTCAAGCCCATCGTCCAATAGACAGCCAGTGGCAGGGCCCAGCAGGTCCAAGGCACCCAGGCTGGGTGGGGCTCCCCCAATGGGGCGGCCTGGTGGCCCCTCGTCCGCCAGGGGTTGGGGAGCCTGGCTTAGGCCCTCGATGTGGCTGAGGTCCTCCAAGAGGCTGGCCATGGAGGCTGAGAGGGCAGCGTCTGAGCTAGCCAGCAAGTTGTCAGCCACATTGGGGGCTGCGGGTGGGTTGGGCACAGGTGGCAGGGCAGCCGTGGGTGCCATGGATGCCTGGATGCGCCGCAGTGTGTTCACCACCAGCACCAGGTGCCGCAGGTCGGGCTCACTCTGCCGCAGGCTGTGGTGAAGCTTGAGCACCGAGAGGTCAAAGAGGGAGTTGGAGGCCACGGCTGGGGGTGCCTGTGCCACTGCTGGGAGGCTGGGATCTAGCCACCAGGCATCAACCGTCAGGGCTTCCTTCTCCTCCTCCTCCTCCTCCCGCTTGCGCTTCAGACCCTTGCTCAGCATCCTCTGCAGGGAGGGAGGAGTCATTCAATTACGGGAAGCAAACGTTAGGTTCAAACCCTGGCTCTAACAACTGCTGCAGGTGTGATCGTGGGCAAGTCCCTTAACCTCTCTGAGCCTAGGTTTTCTTAGGGAACTTTTAAGATATGGATGATAATATCTATTAGGGGGCTGGCCCATGGCTCACTCGGGAGAGTGTGGTGCTGACAACACCAAGTCAAGGGTTAAGATCTCCTTACCGGTTATCTTTAAAAAAAAAAAAAAATAATATAATAATATCTATTAGGATTTAGATACTATTAAGGATTTTTAGGATTTAAAAGTTTTGAGGATTAAATGATAATAAACAAAAAGCACCTACAACAATGCCTGGTACACAGTAATTACTCTTACTAATAACTGCTCTTGGTAACATCACTTATTCAATGAACCATGAGGAATGGCCAATATTCCACCTTTTTTTTTTAACCTACAAAAGCAGCTGTTTCATATAGTTTAATATTTATTGAGTGTCTACTATGTATCAAACGATAAATAAATAAATAAATAGAGGAAATGTACAGATAGTGATTGGAAAGTACAACAGGTCCTGGAGATGGTCAGGGAAAACTGTAAGGAGATGACATTTGAACTGAGCACTCAAGCATGAGAAGTCAGCCATGGAAGAATCAGGGGAAAAGCATTCCGGGAAGAGGGAACAACAAAGGGCAAAGAAAGACTCGGAAGCTGTTTGAACTTGAACTGAAAAAATACCAGTGTGGTTGGTGTACAGATAGTGACAGGGTGGGACAGGGTGGGAGACCAGGTGGGGTAGGAGAGCAGGCAGAAGCTAGCTCACAGAAGGCCGCATAGGCAGACGTTATTGTGTGTGGCGGGGAGTCACTGAAGAGGTTTCAGCAGAGAGGGGAGTGGTGGTGTGAGCTGACTAGCTTTCCAGAAGATCCCTGCTGGCTGCTTTGATTGGAGGGGGCGGGGGGGTGGGGGGGGCGGTACGTGGGCCTGAGACCCATTCGGAGGCTACTGTACTCGCTGGGATGGGCAATGACGATGGCCTGGAGCAGAAGCTGGTAGTGAACATGGAAGGACGTTGGTCGATTTAGGATTTATTTGGGAGACAGAGTGGACAGGGCTTGCCAGGGAACCCTGATGGACACGGGGGTCAGTCACTGATAGAAGTTTGAGGATCCACTCTCTTCCCGGGGAGGTGAGGGCCTGGAGTTTGAGACCCTTGGCCCAACCTTTGTGGGCCAGGAAGACTGCAGGGTCTAGTCCCCGGGACCGTGCCTAGCAAGACCTTAAGAGTGACCCACTGGGTCTTCGCCCCCTTTCCGACAGATCCAGGAGTCCGGAACCGCAGGAATTCAGCCCCCACCCGACTCCGCCCCCAAATCCCGGCGCCCCCTAGCGGCACTCAGGCCGGCTTTTCCCCCGGGGATTCCGGCCCCTTCTGACCCCGGGACCCTTTACACGACCCCACGTCCCGGCGGAGGCTCCTGCCTGCCGCCCTGGGCCGTGCAGGCTGGGACCCCCGGGCGGCTGTTCTGTGCTCCCGGCCTCCGCTCGTTTCCGGAAGGCAGTGGAGGCGGCTCCTCCCGAAGCGGCGGCGGCGGAGGCGGGTGAGTCACGCAGCCGGAGCCAGGGAGCCGGCGCCTCCGCCCCCTTCTAGGGCTGAGGCGTGATTCACCCGGCCGGGCCAGGGCTGGTGGCACGTAGAGGCCCGCGCGTCTTGATTCCGGGTAGCCCCAGCGCAAACCTGCCGGACCCGGGGATCAAACTCGCAAAAGAACCCGGCCACCGGTACCCCTTCGGTCCCCAGACCCCTTCATTTACATACCCAGCTCACCAGTTGCCAATCAGAGCGAAGAGTGAACTACCCACAGCCAATCAGGAAGCGGCAGCGGCGGCAGCATCGCTCGCTTGCTCTCCTTCAGGAACCGGCGCCTAGGTCGGGAAACGCAGTTGTGACTCCGGCGCACGACTCCGGACTCTTGACTACCCTTAGCTCCGCCCACTCCCGTGGCGGCCCCGCCCTCCGCCCCAGGGATTGGCTCTAAATGGTGATGGGCGGAACCTGCAGGGGGCAGGTTCGGAAAGGAGGGGAGGTTGGCTTCAGGGCGCATGCCTGGGCGGCTGCTTGAGAGAAGAGAGGAGAGAGCGGTGGTTCTTTGCCCTGTGGGACGGTAGGGGCTTTGCCTGTCAAAGTACACGCCCTTCACATACACAGCCATGCACCTGCCAAACCCCTCAATTGAGCTTCTTAAGCACCTAGACCCAACAGGGGTCTACACTCTAGGCTAGATAGTCCTGGGTTCAAATCCTGACTCACCATTCACTCCATGCGTGACCTTGGAAAAATGCTTTAATTCTCTGAGCCACAGATAGACTGTTAAATGGGATCTTCTTGCCTACCGCTTGAAAGTTAGGAAAGTTAAAAAAAAGATCGTATCTGTAAGAGCACTATACCAGACTCAGCAAATGCTGGACAGACAGTTGGACTCCATTGTCGTTAAAGGCAGGTGTGAGGTGGGGATGGGACGCCCCCAGAGTCACATCCTGGGCTCCATTCCTTAAATAGCTGTGTGATCTGGGGCAAGTGTTTCAAGCCCTTAGGATCTCAGTTTCCTCATCTGTTTTTTTGTTTGTTTGTTTGTTTGTTTTGTTTTTGGCGGCTGGCCAGTATGGGGATCTGAACCCATGACTTCGGTGTTGTAAAGCTGTGCTCCAACCAACCGAGCTAACTGGCCAGTCTCCTCATCTTTAAGATGAGGAAAATAGCAGCGTCTGTCTCAGAGAATTGTTTTGAAAATTAAATAGAAAAATTCGTGCAAAATGCTCAGAATGATGTACAACGTGTCCTGTGGTTAGTAGTAATAGCTGTTGTAATAAGATGAGCACTTATGGGATGGCAGGTTAGCTCACTTGGGAGAGCGTGGTGCTGACAACACCAAGTCAAGGGTTAACATCCCCTTACCGGTCATCTTTATTAAAAAAAAAAAAAAAAAAAAAAAAAAAGAAGAGACTTAGTTCAAAGTGGGGAGACACACTGGATGGGACTATAAACAGGAGTTTAACACATGTTTGATAAACTGGCAGTGGGACTTACCTTCTTCAAGTAGCTCATTTGCTAACTCCAGAACTGTGGAAAGAACTGTTAGTTGTGAATAAAGCTCTTGGCCAAAGCAAGCTCTCAAAAATGCTGACTACAGTAGTTGATTCAGGCAGTGATAATCAATGGATGCTCTAAACTTTGGGTGAAAGGTTAGTGGGAAAAGGATCTTGACAGGCTCCAAAGCATCACCCAAAGGTTACTTGCTAACTGCAAAGGGGGAAATATCCTTTTATGATATGGCGCTCACCACCTTAACCATGTGATGAAACTGCATCACCAATGGTGGGACATCCTGACACTGGGTGCTTTAAGAAGTACACAATATTCCCTGTGGAGTCTTTCTGTTAAATTGCACAAACTGATCTCATCAAACCTCCAGAACCAATTTTTAGCTTATAGGAGGATTTAGGAACAAATTAAACACTAACAATCTGACAAATCCAAAATGTGGGACATTTTACAGCACAAGTGGGCTGTTCTACCAGAAATTCAATGTCAGGAAAACACAAAAAGGGATTGGGGGAAGGCCGGCCCGTGGCTCACTCGGTAGAGTGCGGTGCTGAAAAAGGGATTGGGGGGAACGTTAAAGAATAAAAGATACTCTGTAATTTCTTTATTACAACCAAATTAATATGTGAAACTTTATTGGATCCTAATTTGGGGGCAAAGAAAACAACTATAAAAGATATTCTTGAATCAATTGGAGAAATTTGAGTATGGACTGGATATTAGGCGATGTTATGGAATTCTTAATTCTCTTAGATGTGAAATAATATTGTGGTTTGTAGGTAAATGTCCTTATTCTTAGGAGATGCCTGCTGAGCTATTAAGGGTAGAATGTCAAGATGTCTGCAAGTGACTCCCCAATAGTTCAGCAAAAGAAAAAGTAAACATATCTGCATATACACATGTAGATAAAGGCAATTTAGCAAAAATGTTAACAACTATTTTTATTTTATTTTATTTTATTTTATTTTATTTTATTTTATTTTATTTTATTTTATTTTATTTTATTTTATTTTATTTTATTTTATTTTATTTTATTTTATTTTATTTTATTTTATTTTATTTTATTTTATTTTATTTTATTTTATTTTATTTTATTTTATTTTATTTTATTTTATTTTATTTTATTTTATTTTATTTTATTTTATTTTATTTTATTTTATTTTATTTTATTTTATTTTATTTTATTTTATTTTATTTTATTTTATTTTATTTTATTTTATTTTATTTTATTTTATTTTATTTTATTTTATTTTATTTTATTTTATTTTATTTTATTTTATTTTATTTTATTTTATTTTATTTTATTTTATTTTATTTTTTTTTTTTTCGTGACCGGCAACGGATCGCAACCCTCAGTGTCGCGCCCGTACCGGACCGGGACCGGCCACGGATCGCAACCCTCGGTGTTGCTCCCACACCTCGCTCAGCCAGTGAGCGGCCGGTCTGTATGTGGGATCCGAACCCTCGGTGGGAGCAAGCGGCGCACTGTAGCAGTGTGCCACAGGGCCGGCCCAAAATGTTAACAACTATTAATTAAATCTAGGTTGGACGGTATTCAAGTGCTCAGAATACTTTTCTCCCATCTTTTCTATATACTTGAATTTTTTCATAAAAGAGGGTAAAATGCTAGGTAGAACCCAGGCCCCTGCTAGGCAAATTCACATAATTCCCTGAAAACCCAGTTTTATAGCTTGGCAAAAAGGAGACTTAGAGTCTCCAACAGGCTTGTTCTAGGTCATACAGTGAAGCAGACCTCATAGGAGTCATTTGGTCAACATGTATTTATTGAGCACCTACTATGTGGTGGGCACTGTTGTAGACAGTGTGGGGACAGCACTGCATAAAACTCAGTCTCTCACGGATCAGGGGAGAGAGTGAAGAGAGAAAATATGAAAAATGCATTCAGTGATTCATGAACATTCATGTATTGAGCCCCTTCTGTGTGCCAGACACTATTCTAGGCACTGAAGATAAGGCAATGAAATTATAGATAAAAATCCCTGATGGGAGGAGGTGGATAATAAACTTAAAGAAATTACACAGTACCTTAGGAGCTGATAAGTGCAAAGGAAAAGAATGAAGCAGAGTGGGAGGAGAATAATGAAAGGGTATGTGTCTTTAGATGAGGGAGGGAGTGTTCTCTGAAGAGATGACATTTGAGCAGAGACCTGATAAAATGAGAGAGGTGGCAAAACTCTGGAGGAAGAGTGTTCCAGGCAGAGGAAAGAGCCAGTGCAAAGGCCCTGAGGTGCTGTTTGCTAGGCGGCAAGGCCAGTGTAGCTGGACTGGGAGCTGCAGGGCAGGAGCTCAGAGAAGTTATCAGGCCTTTTAGACCTCTGTGTGGACCTTTGTTTTTTACTCAGAGTGGGATGAGAACAGCCTGGAAGATGAATACATGAGAAAAATAATTTCTGCTTCTGTTCAGTGACCTAAAGAAAACAAAATAGGACTGTATAATAGAGGTCTGTGGGCTGCCTACGGACCACCGGCAAAAAAAAAAAGTAAAAGTAGAGGCCTGGGGAGAGGTGCCTGTAGCCAGGGTGGTCGGAGAGAAACTTCCTCAGGAGGTGACACTGAAGTTGGGACCAGAAAGTGGAGAAGGAGCCAGAAATTCAAAGGCAGGGGGGAAGGGAGAAGGAAAGAGAACATCAGGCCTTGGGAAACGAAACCAGAAGTGAAGCCACCAAGCCCGGCAGGCCTCTGCCAGCTGCGGAGGGAAGGAGGGGGGTGAGGGGGAGCGTCCCGCCCCTGGGGAGGGAGGAGGCGCCAGGCAGGCTCCGGGCGGCGGCCTCCCCGGTATCCCGCCTGGCTGGACAGCCCAGGGCGGCGGGTGGGCGGCGGGGAGGGACCCTCCCCCAGCACGCCCGTAGAGGTGGCAGGCCCATCCCCCACCGCAGGACCGCGGGGGAGGGCAGGTTGGGGAAAGTGTACTCTGCCCTCAGGGACTCGGTTCCTGCTGCAGGGCCAGCCTTTCCACTTCTTTGGCCAGTTCTTTAACAGGTGCGATGTTAGGGAAGGAGGTGGGCCTCTCTGAGCTTCAGTTTGTTCATCTGGAGTGGGAAGGGTGCTCCTCATACCGGCCTCACTGCGGCACTAACAAGCTACACAATTCCCCTTCGCCTGGTGATCATTTAGGGCAGCAAAGAGCTCTAAGAAAGAGGTGAGTCAGGTCACAACCCTCCTGTGCTCAACACCCCCGCCGGGCTGGACAGCCCAGGGCGGCGGGTGGGCGGCGGGGAGGGACCCTCCCCCAGCACGCCCGTAGAGGTGGCAGGCCCATCCCCCACCGCAGGACCGCGGGGGAGGGCAGGTTGGGGAAAGTGTACTCTGCCCTCAGGGACTCGGTTCCTGCTGCAGGGCCAGCCTTTCCACTTCTTTGGCCAGTTCTTTAACAGGTGCGATGTTAGGGAAGGAGGTGGGCCTCTCTGAGCTTCAGTTTGTTCATCTGGAGTGGGAAGGGTGCTCCTCATACCGGCCTCACTGCGGCACTAACAAGCTACACAATTCCCCTTCGCCTGGTGATCATTTAGGGCAGCAAAGAGCTCTAAGAAAGAGGTGAGTCAGGTCACAACCCTCCTGTGCTCAACACCCTCCCAGGGCTTCCACCTTGCTCAAGGTAAAGCTGAAGCCCTCCCTGCAGGACTCCCACAAACCCTACATGATTCGCCCCTCCCCTCTCTCACCTGGTCTCCGGTGCTCTCCCCCTCGCTCACCCTGCTCCAGCCACGCTGGCCTCCTCACTGTCCCGCAAACACTCCATTCATGCTCTGACCTCAGGGCCTCTTTGCACTGGCTGTTTTCTCTGTCTGGATTGTTCCCCTACAGATCCATAGGGCTCACCCCTCACCTCCTTCAGGTCTTTACCCAAATGTCACCTTGCCGGTGAGGCCTTCCCTGGCCATCCCATCTAAATAGCAACACCTCCATCACTTCCCTACTTTCGTTTTCTCCACTACATTTATCACTACCTGACAGAATGTACTTTTTAACTTATTTTTCACATTTATTGCAATCCTACCCCACTATTATACTTCATGAGAGCAGGAATGTGTCTACTAGATGAGTGCCAAGCACAGCAGGCATTCAATAAATTTGGGCCATTATTGAAGTTCTCCGTGTGCCTCAGGCCCACTCACACACTTTGCATGCTTTGCTCTGTGAGGCAGGTGTAACACTGTGTTTGAGGAATAGTAGGGAATGGTATGGCTGGACATAGGAATGAGGGGTTGTGTGGAAAATGAGTCCAGAGAGGTGGGAGGGAAGGCTGGCCACTGCAAAGTCTGGAGTTCATTTTTTCAGCGTCAAATAATTTGAGTGCCCACCTGTGCCAAGCACAGTTCCAGGCCCCAGGTGCGGGGATGGTGGTGGTGGAGGATACAGCTAGGCAAAGACAGACACAACCACTCCCTGTGTTTCCAATAGAGGAGGCCAACCATTCATGGGTAATAAATAACTTGAGATTGGATAGGTGCTACTAAGAAAATCAAACAGGATGTGATGTGATGGTGGTGCACCTGGGCATGTTGAGCTTCGAATGGCAGCAAAGATCTCTCTGAGAAGGAGACATTTGGATTGCTGAAGTTAAGGGGGTTAGTGTCCTCTGGGCAGATTTAACACCAAATTCAAAAGCCCTGGACTGGGAACGAGCTTGGGATCAAAGGAGATCAGCATGATTGGAGTCGAGCAGAGGAGAGAATGGGAGATGAAACTGGGAAAGTTGTCAGGAGAGTAAGTCAGGCCTTGTAGATATCAGTGGAGTTGGGGTTTTATACTGAGTGTGACAGGAAGTCACTGGAGTTCCTCCTCCTTAGGACATGATTCATTTGGCATCCAAATTGGGATGCAGACTTCTGTGCTTTCTTGAGATTCCCCTGACCACCTCCTCTCTCTCTGGATTATCCCTCCACTTTCTGACTTAAGAGCCAGAAACCACAGGCAAACCCATGGACCATCCCAGGTATGGCTCCTCCTTGAGACCCCTCCGGAAAAGTGCCTAATGCTGTGCAGGCTCACCTGCTCTGCCTCTTCAAAGGCCTTTGTGAAGGAAAAGCCAGTGCAGCAATGTATCACATTGCATCTCCCCTGCCTCCCTTCTCTGTTCCCCTCTCACCAGCCTGGGCTTGTACCCCCCCAAATAAAGCATTAGCACCATAACTCTAACCTGAAGCAACATAAACACCATATAATTAAGAACAAGGCTCTGCAGGCCAACTGAGTTTAAGTTCTACCTCCCTGGTCCTCACTCTTTCTAGCTGTGTGACCCAGAGCAAGTGACTTGGCCTCTCTGAACTTCAGGTTCCTCCTACATAAAAATTGTGATAATAGTACCTACTTCTACATAGTCATGAGGATTAAAGGACTAAATTAGAATGAAGTGGTTAGAACAGCACTCTTGACAAGCATTCAATAAATGTCATGTACCATGATATACCTATCCCAACTTGGGTAGGGAAGGGGTACCAGGTCCCTCCTACTGACCCAGTTTATTTCAGAAACTTAAGGCAAGAACATTGCTTCCAAAATACTTTTATTAAAAAAAAATTACAAACAATCAAAAAAAAAAAGAAAGAAAGGCCACCACAAACCCCGCCTTTCTTTTAAGTAACGTGGCATGTAGCAGTTTGGTTTCCACCCTATTGCACGTGGTCCGGCCTGGTTTTGAATCAGGAGGCTGCTGGGACTGGGGTCCTGCCAAGGGGTTCAGCCTGAGGAGAAGAAACCAGCGCCTCCCACTCCCTCAAGGTGCAAGAGGCAGAGCCTGGGTTTCCATAGCAACTTGGTGGCACATCCCTGTCATCCTTTGACAGGCCCAGCTTTTTCTTCCCTGAGGCCCCAGTGGTCACAAGGAGAGTGGGAACTGGAGGGAAAAGTCAAAGAAATGTCTAAGTGAGAAATCAGACTCCCAGAAAGAGTCTCATTAAGGCATTTGGAACAGATAAATTAATTCAGGAAGACCCACCTTCACAGAAGGCTGGGATAACCAGACACACACACATGCAAGACAGTTTGTGGAACCCTGAAATTGGAAAGGAGGCCATAGTCACTGCTTAGTCCCCCACCAGAACACACACAGAGTTGCATCCAGGGATCCAGGCCACCAAGGATTAATCAAGAAGGATCCCCTGTCAAAGTTTTAGGACCCCAGAATGATTTCCATGATGTGATCTAGTTCATTCCATTCCCAGGACCCTGGGGCACAGAAGAGGTTGTGAGGAGGCTCTGGTGGGGCCAGTGCAGGTTCCTTTTCCACTGCAGATGTATCAATGTCCATAAAGAAGTCATCCAGGCCAGAGTCTCCCAGGTACCTAGAGCTCAGAGCTTCTAAAAAGACTGGATCCGGCTGAGGCAGTGCTTCATTTTGGAGGCCCAGTGGAACCACTGGATTCTGAGGGGGCTCAGTTTGGTCCATGGAGGTATCCAGCTCCCTGAGGATAGAGCCAATGGTGGCTGACAGGGAGAAATCCTCCTCACCCAGGAAGAGGGGCTCAGGGGGCAGGGCAGGTGCAGGAGCCAGGCGAAGTGCGGCCTGGAGCTGCTGCAAGGTGTTATGGATGAGGACGTGCCTGCGGAGGCTGGGTGCTCGGGGTCCCAGGCTGCGCTGGACTTTGTCTAAGGAGATGCGGAGCAGGGCTTGCTGGTAGCTCCGAAGACCAGCTGGACCCCAGTCCCACTTTTCCTCCTCCTCCTCTTCCAAATCTGAGTGTTTCCTCTTCAAGCCTCCAACCATGATGCTCTGTGAAGACAAGAGGGGTAAATCAGACATGGTAGGGCTAGGTCAAACCCTGCTTTCCTAGGCCTGTATAGTTGTTGGTGATTTCTAATTATGTGAAACACAGTTTACTCAAATATAAAATGGAGACAGTCCAAATTCCACGAGGCTAAGGAGGTGAATAAGTGTATGTGACTAAGAAAACAAGATCTGTTAAAAAAAATAAAGGAAAGAAAACAAGATCTACACTTAAACATAGCTGGGTGTGAATCCCACTTACTTGCCTGTTGTGACCTCAAATAGGTAATTTACATTCTTTTTTTTTTTTTTAAAGATAACCCGTAAGGGGATCTTAACCCTTGGCTTGGTGTTGCCAGCACCATGCTCAGCCAGTGAGCGAGCCGGCCATCCCTATATAGGATCCGAACCCGTGGCCTTGGTGTTATCAGCACCACACTCTCCCGAGTGAGAGCCACAGGCCGGCCCTGGTAATTTACAGTTTTGAGAATTAATTTCCTGATCTGCAAAGTAAGGATCCTAACTCAAGTCCCCCTGAGTCTTAAAACTGTTCACAACACTCATTTCTTCAAACATGTCACACACAAAACAGGTGTGGAGAGCAGAGACCTGGAATGGAAGTAGGAACTCCTGGGTTTGCATTCTGCCTTAGACACTGCTCAAATGTGTGATCTTGGGAAGTGACGTGATGTCACCTCTCTGACCCTCAGTTTCCTCCTCTGTAAAATGAGGACTGTAAAAATACTTCTTACCACATACTCAAGGAGATCCCATGTGTTACATGCACAGGGCCCACCACGCTGGAAGTGCTTAATATACAAGAAGAGTTAATTGCCATTTATTCATTCAATAGGCATCTATCCAGTGCCTACTAAATTCGAGCCACCAGGAGCCCTGTCAGGACACCCATTTGTCGAGACTCTTCTTTTACAGAGAGGACACTTCTGTCCACTCCCTCTTCCTTAACTGACTGTGAGAGCTCCCAGCGGCAGGGAATGGAATGGGCCTTCCTCATTCCCTCCGCCCGCACCTTGAGCTCACCCCAAAGAGCGCCCCATAGGAAAACTTGCTAGAAAGCAACTCACGCCAAATCCCGCCCCCTGACGGCCCACCCAACCAGACCTCGGCGTCCCACAGGCCCTGCCCCTCACCGCTCTCTTTTCAGCATCCAGGAACGCCCCACATCGCCCCAAGGGCTTCTGGGAAATGTGGACCAATAGCCGCCAGGTACACGCAAGAACGTCGAGCCTGGCAAGCACTACAATCCCCAGAGGGCTCCGCTCGGCCCTCGGACGAAGCTCCTCCGCCCTCCCTTAAGGCATGCGCACAGGAGCCCGAGGTGGATGGGGGAGGGAACCCGGACGTCCAGCTGCCGGGTGCCTGCCGAGCCCCGCCCTCCGTTGCCTCCGGGGCTGCGGGTCTGAGCTCCACGCCCGGAACACCCCTCCCCCACCCCAAACTCCGACTGTAAAACTGCTTTCTCCGGATCCCTCCGACTCCTGAAGTCTGGGATTCTTCCCTAAAATTGCCCCCGGGTTCAAAGACCCAGGCCCTAACACTTCGCTCAAAGACGACAAATGTTCTCCAATCTTCCGCGTTCGGGAGACTAGGTATCCCAATTTTGAGACCTGCCCCCAACTTTCCCCTATTCTCCCGACTTTCAAACGCTTCTAGACTTCACCTCCAAACTCACCGTCCGGCTCCAAGACCAGACATTACTCTCCCCAGTAACCCCTGCCCGCCACTGCATCTTCAAGTCAAAGATTCCTTGACCCTAGTTCTCTCGTTTCTTCAAATGCTCGGGATCCCAGCCCCAAACATCTTACACCTTTTCTAGAACACTATATAGAAGCCCAAATTCGCCCGTCCGGGAGACCCAATTGTCCTAATCTCCAGATTCCCTGCCCCAAAAGTTCCTTCCCCTGGTTTTCTCGCTTCTCCAAACACCCCATGTCCCAGCTTAAAACTCCCTTCACTTGAAAATCCTGCCCCAACAACCTCGCCTCCCGTCCTGGATCTCGAACTCGGTCTCCGATTCTCAGACCCTCCAAACCCTACCAGTCACCCTAATTCTGCACCCCCCGCTCTCGCCTAGACCCCGCAAATCCCAGGAGCGGACCTCCACCTCCCCCAAACCAAGATAGGTCCCAGGCGGCCACTCCTCACCTCAGCTGACAGGTACGCAACGACCACCTGGAACGCCTGGAGCGCGGCGACCCACCAGTGCTGGGTAGGACCTCGCTCACCTCTCCAGGGCCTCTCGGTCTGGCCTCCGGCCCACCCAGCTCCGCCCAGGAGCCAAGCCACAAGCCACGATTGGCTGGAGTCCTGCCCGCCACGGGACGCCGACTGGCTGGGCGGAGCCACCCGCCAGTAGCCGGGAGACGCCTGCCCCGCCCGCCCCTCCCTAGCGCCCCGGGCCATTTAAAGGATTCCGACTCGCCAAGGGGCGGGGCTACGTGCCCAGGGTGGAGGGGGCGGGGCCACGTGCCCAGGGTAGATGGGGGCGGGGCCAAGTGTCCAGGGTGGAGGGGGGCGGGGCCGTGAAGACCGCCTCCTTCAGCTCAGCTACGATCTTCGTCGCTCCGAGATCATCAGCGTTACTCTCTGCGGTCCCTTCAGACCAGGCCCGGACCACATCGCGGGGCAAGACGGGCTGGCACGCTCCTCCCTACTCTGCATTCCAGGCGGGCGGGGCCGACCAACTCGAACACATCGCGGAGGCCAAGCCCGGGGCCTTCCGAAGGCTGATGTCCGAGATGGGAGATGACGCAGCTAAAGACCAGCCAATAGTTTGGCGGGGCCTGTGTTGCCAGGGCAATCGCAGCCCTTGTCCTTCCGCCCCACATTACGCGAAGGCCCCTTCTTAATCCTCGAGACTTCTTAGCACGTACTCTGGTGGTCCCTCCTTGATCCCCTGGCACCTTATTTTTCCTCAGAATGACTCCTTTGCTACTAGAAATTAGTCCATGGCTCCCTGCATCCTTGGAGACAAAGTCCGAACTCGTTACTTTTGCCACAAAGCTCTTCATGATCTGGACTGATGCACTGTCCTCCTAGGTCTCTGGGATCCTGCCGCACAGATTCACTTTTTTTTTGGCGGCTAGTCGGTACGGGTATCCGAACCCGTGAACTCGGTATTATAAGGCTGTGCTGTAACCAACTGAACTAACCGGCCAGCTTGAAAAAAATTCTTAAATTCAACCATTTGAGTCGGGGACCGTCTGTACTCAAAAGTGAGAATGAAAGGCCTCTGGATCTTCATTGTTTTTTGTTTACTTTTGTTTGTTTTCTTACTTTGGTTTTCTATTATCTTTTTCTGTTTTTCCTTTTTTAAAAAAAAAATTATTTTGGATCCTTAAACTTGTTTCCTTGTTCTGAAAAGGTACCCTCAGTTCTCAGGTTGCCTCTTATCAGAATTCATTTCAAAGATTTCCTGCTCTCAGAAGCTCTCCCTGACAATCCACGTTGGGTTAGGACTCATCCTGGGCCCCATGGCTCCCATACCTCCCCCATCCCAGCCCTCCCCCACCTGTGCCTCCCCTGTCCCAGCCCTTAGCTATTACTGTCTGGACTGTGGGCCCCCTGAGGACAAGTATCATGATGTCTCAGTCTACTTTGTGTTACTATAACAATACCACAGACTGGATAATTTATTTATTTATTTTTATTTTTATTTATTTTTATTTTTTATTTTTTGTCCTTTTTGAGACCCGGCCACACCGTCGCACTGCGCTCAGCCAGTGAGCGCTGTGAGTGCACCAGTCATCCCTATATAGGATCCGAATCCGCGGCGGGAGCACTCCTGTGCTCCCAGCGCTGCACTCTCCCGAGTGCGCCACGGGCTTGGCCCTTATTTTTATTTTTTTAAAGATGACCGGTAAGGGGATCTTAACCCTTGTCTTGGTGTTGTCAGCACCACACTCAGCCAGTGAGTGAACCAGCCATCCCTATATGGGATCCGAACCCGCGGCCTTGGTGTTATCAGCACCACACTCTCCCGAGTGAGCCACAGGCTGGCCCCTGGATAATTTATAAAGAACAGGGATTTATTTCTTATAGTTCTGTTGGCTAGGAAGTCCAAGAGTATGGTTTCGGCATCTGGTGAGGGCCTTTGTGCTCTGTCAGCCCATGGCAGAAGATGGAAGGGCAAGACAGTGTGAGAGAGGTACCAGAAGGAGGTTGAACCCATTCCCTTATCAGGAACCTTCTGTGATAATGGCCTTAATCCATTCCCTTAATCTGCCCTCATGACCCAATCACTTCTTAAATGTTCCACTTCTCAACAGTGTTGCATTGGGGATTAAGTTTCCAACACATAACTTTGGGGAACATATTCAAGCCATAGCACAATGTTATCTCTGTCACCCACTGCTTGGTCTACAGCATCACCTATCACAGGGCTGGACACAGAGCAAGTACTCAGAGAAATGCTCAGGCAATGTGACCAAAAGAAAAATAAGGAGGGCAGAAACTTAAAAAACTACTAATGTCCTGAAAGCCTACACCGGTAATGCCCCACCCCCAAGACAAGTTTTCATTAAGGGGAGGGGGAGGCAGTTTTCTCTGGTGCATTGCTGTGAAGGAAGGTATAAGTTTCCTTAGACCAGTTCTCACTGGTTGAAATTTGTCAACCAAGTCATCCTGCTGTTTGCAGTGTACGGCAAGACTGGAAAGGATTTCTCAGGGATGGTAGAGGGAGGGGGACTAGGGGAATAGGTTCGGTGGGTGGGAGGTAGGGAGAGAGGAGTGGCTCACCCAGGTCTTGGAAAGATGTCCGGGGGAAACAAAGGAAAAGGACAGTAGGATCCAAAGAGAAGCATGATTAGTAAGGGGCAATTCTTCTCCTTCCCTCTCCAGAACCTGCCCCTCCTCCAGGGTCCCCACCTCAGGGAAGCCCTACTGTAACCCCATCCACAGGTTATAGTCCCACGCTTCTTCCTGCTGCCTCCTTCCCCTCCCCCATGGATTGCCCTGAGCGGCTCCTGAGCAGTCCTCGCACCCATTCCCTTCTCTCCTCCTCAAGGCCCCTGCCTTGGTCCAACTTCCCCTGGGCTATCAGCCTCCACTCTTGCCCCACTCCAATCCACCCTCACACAGTAGCCAAGGGAAGCTTTACAAAACACGAACTTCATATTGGCCAGCTGCCAAAAAAAGAAGTATACATATATATATATATATATATATATACCACGCAAACCGGACTGTGCCCCCCCTCACTTCTCCTGCTCCACTCCTTGCCTAAAATTTTAGAATAAAGCTCAAACTTTTTACATAACTCTGCACAATTTAGCCTCCATGGACCAGCCTCTGAGGTCCAAACATCCTGACTTCAGAGTAGAAGTATTAACTGTAGGGGACAGATTTTAGTTCTTCAGAGGAGTCATGTGCCTTCTGGTCTCCTGGCCTTTGCTCATGTTGTTCCTTCTGCCGGAATACTATCATACCCTAGAACCTTCTGTTGGCTTATTCCTACCACACCAGGTTTCTGGTCAGATATGCCCTTTCACAAAGCCTTTTTTGCTCCTCAGTCTGGGTCAGGTGCCCCCTCTGGGCTCCTACAACGCCCTGTGCTTCCTCTATCCGAGCTCTGCCCATTCTGGGTTGTCACTGTCAGGGCAGGGCTGTCTTCCCTACTGGACTATGAGATCCGTGAAAGCAGGGCTCCCAGTGATCTTGGCCACCCATGGGTCCCCACAGTCACCACTGGGTCCTCAGCACAGGGCTGGGCACAGAAGAGGGACTCAGTAAACTGTGACTGAACACACGAATGAATGAATACTCAGAAAATCTTACACAGAGGTAGATAGAGACACTGAAATACTTGGACAACAGCAGAGAAAGGAAAAGTCACAGGTCCTCTGGAATAATTTGAAGCTCTCGGGCTCAAGATTTATTGCTCCTTTCCTTTGTTCCTCATTTCCCAGAATGTCACTCTCCTAGATAGGGCCAGGGTCCTAGGTATAGTGGTGGGAGGGGTAGGTGCTGTGCCCGTCGTACTCATCGGTGGTGAGGCAGCGCAGCATGAAGTGGCCCAGGTCATGTTTGGAGATGACCCTCGAGGGCCCTCGTCCATCCAAGGTCACTGAATAGGCCCCAGTTAGTGGCTGGTCTCCTGTGAGGCAAAGACAGAGGAGCTGGATGAAGCAGATATCCTTTCCCCACTCCCAACATATAATTACTGGAAAGACCTTTTTTTTTTTTTAAGATGACCGGTAAGGGGATCTCAACCCTTGACTTGGTGTTGTCAGCACCACGCTCAGCCAGTGAGCAAACCGGCCATCCCCATATAGGGTCCGAACCCGTGGCCTTGGTGTTATCAGCACCGCACTCTCCCGAGTGAGCCACGGGCCGGCCTGGAAAGACCTTTTCAGGATGTCTAGTGGGTGGCCGGCCCAGTTCGTAGAGAAGCCGAGAACGTACTTCCCATGTGCAGATGCTAATCTATACCCTTTGCTTGCACTATTTGACAAATCCTTATTACCTATTGTTGGTCAGGTGGTAGGCACCCAGCAAGGGACAAAACAGACAAGAATTCCTGCCCTCAGGATACAGACATTCACTAGGAAAAGGCAACTAATACGATACAAAAATAAAATAGACATAAGCTTGTGTTAAGTGAAAAAAATAAAAGAAAATAGACAATATGTTAGATGGGGAGGAATAAATCAGACGACAGGTTAACACCTATTATTAACCCTCTTTTACAGATGGGCAAACTGAGTCACATCCCAGGGCTGTCAAGGGTCACTTCCCAGAGGCACACGCTACATTTGCTCTGGGTCCCTCTCTCTGGTTGCTTTCCTCTCTCTGGACAGCTCTGGGAGGACTGAGTGACATGTCCCAAGAGTGATCTGCATTTTATAGGCAGTGGAAGAGCAGACACATTTTTCCAATCTTATGAACAAGGAATTGGTGTGTCCCAATGTCAGGGGTACAACTACGTTTTTCTTAGTGGGGATAATGGACAGGCATAACCTGGCTGTTAAGACGGCTGCACTATGATCATTAGAAATAATACCCGACAGTGACCAACTAAGGGATCAAACTCAATATCACCATTCAGGGAGAGCCTAGAATCATGAGCAATAGGGAACACACACACTCATCCATGTGGCATTCCTGCCCAAAATGTTTAATCTGAATCTGTGAGAAAACTAGAAAAATCCAGAATGTGGAACATTTCAAAAGTCACCTGGCCTGGTTAATGTTATGAGAAACTTAAAAATAAAAGACATGGGGGATTGTTCCAGATTAAAGGTGACATGGCAACTAAATAGGATGCATGATCTTAAATTGGATACTGATTTGAGGGATGGGGGATAGGTATTTTATGACATTGTGAAAATTTGAATATGGAACAGATACTAAACTACATGATAGAGTTAATGTCAGTTCCTTTAGGTGTGATAATGGTTTGCATGCAAATATCTTTTTACTGGGAGATGCCTGTTGAGGTATTTAGGAGTGAAATGTGACAGTTTTGAAGCTTCCTCTCAAATGGTTCAGTCAAAAAATATATATATATATATATACACACATATTTGTATATTTACTTATGTATGTATATTATGTATATATATATATACTGTATGTACAGCATATATATATTTATAATATATTCAGAAAAATATATACAGAGAGAGAGAGAACAAGGCAAAATGCTAACCACTGAACCTAGACAAAGGGTTTATGGGTATTCATAAATCTTTAAATCCCTCAGCTTTTCTGGAGGTTTGAAAGTTTGCACACACACCAAAAGACAAAAAGAAAAGGAAAAAAAAAAGGCCTAAAAAATACCACTCTGTGTTAAATAATTCTCAGGTGTGATCTCTGAATATTCAATTCAAAACCAGAAAGTCAAAATAGAAAAAAGAAAAGCAAAACAAACAAACAAAACACCAAAAAACAAACAAAAAACCCCCCCAAACAAAACAAAAAACCTGGGAGGTCAAGAAGTGGTGTTACGGCCCCCACTGAGAGATGAGGAAACCGATGCTCAGAAAGTGAGGCCACTGGGCTGATGTGCACACAACGCTGGGGCTGGGATTTTCGCCTCACTTCTCCACCACACAGCTTCACTGCTGATTCAAAGCTTAGGATTCTGGTCCATGTCGGGTTCTGATACATCTCCCTTAGTTGAACCTAAACATTGAACTTTATTTGAACCTCTAAAGTGAAGGCCTCCTCCTGTCAGGGCTCCCAGAAGGCAGAAAGCAAAGCGGAATTGCTCTTCCACCACACTCCATCACTCTCTTGACCTGTGCTTTACTGTTTCTTTATTCAATGTATCACTACCAGTATTAATATCTACCTATTGATCTATCATCTCTCCCACCAGACATGTAAGCCTCATGAGAGCAGGGACTGTATTGCCAGTGCTTGTAATGGTGGCCAGGCACACAATTCATATGTAAGAGGCATTTGTTGAATGAATGGTTCTCTCCCTCTATCTGACTCTCTGTCTCTCTCAATATGAATTCCAGACCTGGGAGGGGAAAGAAGGGTGCAGGTGTAGTTTATTGGTTCCTTCTAAACCACCACCACAAGATATGGTTCCCCTATATTAGTTCATCCAACAACTACTTATTGAGCACCTACTACATGCCAGGCCCTGTTCTAGGCACTAGAAACGCAGCTGTGATCAAACAAGACAAAATCCCTGCCTTCAAAGAGTTGACATTCTAGTCAAGGAGATATACACGAAATAAGATAAAGAAAGAAAATATCTGATGTGTGTGGTTTAAATCCTCTGCCCTTGAATGTAGGTCAGCCCCAGTAACTCACTTCTGATAAACAGAACGCAGTGGAAGTAGCCCTGAGTGACTTCTGATAATAGGCAACAAAAGACAATGTAGCTTCCATATGATGCTCTCTCTTGAGACTCTTGCCCTGGGAGCCCAGCTGCCATGGTGTGAGGAAGCCCGGGCCACATGGGGAGGCCACGTGCAGGTGTTGCTGCTGATGGTCTGCATCACCCACCAGATGCATCTGTGAGGAAGCCTTCCACATGACTCTATGCCCAGCCACCATCTGACTGCATGATCGCACGATACCCCAAGCAGGTACCACTCACTGAGGCTACTCAGCTCCCAGAACTGAGAAAGACAATTGTAATAAATGACAGTTGTTTGACATTTCTACATTTCGGGTTGTTTGTCAAGCAGAGATAACCCAATGGTATGTTAGAAAGGAAATAAAATAAAGCAGGGAAGGAAAATAGAAAATGTGGAGGAAAGGTTTACAATTTTAGGAGTCAGAGGCCTTGCAAACCTCACCAGACAGCGAGAGGCTGCAGGCTGGTGGTGACAGTGCACAGTGCTGCTGGGTCCCTGCCCCACTCACCTATGTGTGGCGGCATCACAGCCACATACTTCAGGCCCGACTCCTGTAGCACCTTGTGCATCCGGATGTGGTCATCAGTCACGTTCTGCAGTTGTGGGGGAACCTTGGCCGGGTCCCATAGCAGGAAGGCTGGGGGACACAGGGCAGGATCAGCCTGGGCTCCCTTGTCTTGGTGCTAAGACAAACCCTGCAGTGGCTCACTTTTGCCTTCCAGTTGCAAATGCGGGGAAGTCATCTTGACCTGTCTTTCACACCCATGTAAGGGCTGTCAGCAGATCACAATAATTCAAATCTGACCTCTTCTCACTCCACCTGTTCCTGTTTACTGTTATCTCTTGCCTGGACCAGCACAGCAGCTCCTCTCTGGTCTCCCTGCCCCTGACCCCCATTTGCAGTCAGAGGGAGCCTGTGAACACCTGAGTCAGGTCACATCTGTGGCTCCCTTTCACTCGGTAAAAACAAAGTCCTCATTACCCATTTGAGCTGATGTCATCAGCTCTCTGATACCACCCCCACCACTCTCCCCTTGAAGAACATTCAGTCTTTGCAATTGCTGGTCCCTCTGCCTACAATGCATTTTCCTCTCACAGCCAAGTGACTCCCTCCTTTTCCTTGCAGACTTTGTTCAAAGGTCACCTTTCCATGTGGCTTTCCCTGATCATCCTATTTGAAATTGCAAAAACAAACAAACAAACAAACAAACAAACAAAAACCCTCCCTGGGCCAAGCATAGCCAATCACCTTTACCCTGTTTGTTCCCTAGCACTTCTCCTAATACCACACCATAAAGTTACCATGTATCTTGTTTACTATCTTCTTCCCCTAGTGGGAGTCAGCTCCACAGTGCAGAGGCTTTGTCTACCACATTCACAGCTCCATTCCCAGCCCTTTGAAGGGCCTGGAACACTGCAGGTGCTCACGAAATATTTATTGGGCTGGCCGGTTGCTCAGTTGGGTAGAGTGCGGCTTGGTTGTAACACCAAGGTCAAGGGTTGGTTCCCCACACCCGCCAGCAGCCAAAAAAATTTTTTTGTTGTTGAAGAAATTACTTAGTCTTGACCAAGCTATAATACAAGCTGACATTTATGGGACACTTACCTTGTAGTAAGAACTATGCTAAATGTTTTAGGTACAGTTTGGTGTAATGGTTAAGAGCTGGGGCTCCTCTTATGTTCTGGATCTACCACTGGGCAGCTGCTTGTTTCCTCATTTGTAAACTGGGATGATATAAGTTGTTGGAGTTAATGCAAGTGGTTATAACAAGGTCTGGCAGGCTGGCTGGTTAACTCACTTGGTTAGAGCTCGGTGCCGATAACACCAAGGTCAAGGGTTTCAATCCCCCAACAGGACAGCTTCTAAAAAACAACCTCTGGCACTGAGTAAAACTCAATCAGAGGTCGCTATGATTGTCTCATTGATTCCTAGGCAGCTGGATTCCCTCTTCACAGGTGAGAAAATTGAAGTTCAGAGTGTGAAGTGGTAACCCAAGGCCACACAGCAAGGACCTTGGGGCCCACTTCCTTATTCAACATTGGCAGACTCCAGCCTGCACTCTCCAATCCAGTCTGTATCCCACCCTGGGTTTCTTTCTAATCTTCTCAGGCACCTCCTTAAAAATAATCCTCCCTAAGCCCTAATGTATAAACTCCAAGCTCCTTAGAAGACAAGGATCCTAGGGCCGGCCCGTGGCTCACTCGGGAGAGTGCGGTGCTGATAACACCAAGGCCACGGGTTCGGATCCTATATAGGGATGGTCGGTTCACTCACTTGGGAGAGCGTGGTGCTGACAACACCAAGTCAAGGGTTAAGATCCCCTTACCGGTCATCTTTTTTAAAAAAAAAAAAAAAAAGAAGCTGCTGATGGTGTCCATGGGTCTCCTACTCTATTTCAAATAGTTTAGAAAAATA